TCTCCCAGAGCGGAGGCTGTAGCACATCCCCATGCTGCCGGGGGGGCGAGAGAGCGGCGCGCGGGAGGGGTCCCGAGAGCGACGGAGGGTCGCGCCTTCTGCCGACCCGACCCGCTCCGCGCGCGCTAAGGGGGCTTCAGCGGTCTCCGCTAATCCTCCCTTTGGCGACTTTCAAAGGGGTGGAAAGTTTTCCTCCGATCTCAGGGACGCATTTTGTCCTGGTCCTCTTTGGTTCATATTTCCTCCCTTTCAAATTAGAGCGTAAGTGTGTGTGTGTGTGGGGGTATTTGGGTGTTAGTTTATGTGTGTGTGTGTGTGTGTGTGTCCGAGCGCAAAACACGTGACTGAGACGAATTTACCGTATTCTCCAGAAGAAATCGAAGGGCGAAAAGTCACTTCCTACCGTGACACTGTTCTTGCTTCTTTCGTTAGGTTTATTTAAACTTTTAAGAGCTGCTGCTCCCTCCTTTCTCATCTTTTTCTTCCCGGTCTACTGCACTAACTTCGTTGCTGCACTTTTGAAAGGGACAAGAGCGCGCGCAACGATCTTAAGTACAACTTGGCGCGAGGGAAGAATGAGTTATTGAAATAAATATATGCACGTAGTTGGGCACCAGCCAGTCTGAATTAAGGCAGCATTAAGGACGAATGACCTTTTTGATTTCAATGAGACAATCATGGTTAATCTCTCGGGCAAAACTTTTTAGCTGATGTATAGCAAATCTAGTGAACAAAAGTTTAATTGCTCTTCCAACCATAAATGATACATCTATAATAATAGTCTATACTTAAATTTTGTTTGTGCCCTTTAAAATTGGTCTTTAAAAGACCATTCCTTTGAACTTTGAGGCTGTCTATAGATTGAGGTCTTGGATATTGCTAAAACAATATCCATTTCTAAATCTTTCCTCAAAATCCAGGCAATTAAAAAAAAAACTTTTTTATTTATGTAATAATCTTTTGGCCCACCCAACCCCAACAACTTAATTTTTCTTTAATGTAAGTAGTTAAACAAAGTTTACAAATATAGAAAAGCTAGTTGCATTGAAATTCACCCTCAAAATGTGCAATATAAGAAACCCCCCAAAACTTAATTCTTGTTGACTGAATTTATGCAGTTTTCTTAGCATTAATAGAGAAATCATATGCAACTGCCTTCTTTCAGGAAATTTTTTCAACTGCCAGGTCTAGCCAACACTTCTGGGTTTCCTTCATCTAAGTACTAACCAAGGCTGACTTGTTTACCTTCTGCAATCTGCCATGATCAGTTAGGTATATAGTCTGCTCTTTGACTGCAGCATCTACACGAGTGTTTCTCAACGTTGGCAACTTTAAGATGTGTGGACTTCCATGCTGGCTGGGGAATTCTGGGAGTAGAAGCCCACACATCTTAAAGTTGCCAACGTTGAGAAACACTGATCTACACTTCTTCATGGTGGGACAGCATCCAGACCCTCAAGCTTCTTGCTGTTTGAGAATTGTCTCTATTTTCTTCCCTGAGGATATTTAACAGATTAAAGCAATTTTATTTCAACAAGTCTTTGGACTCTGTTGATCAGTCATTTCCAAATTGGTCTCCACATGGTAGATTGATCGTAAACAACCTTGGGCTTGATCTAAGTGATCTTTCAGGTATTCTTTCTGTTTCAGTCATTCTTGACTTAGCTTCGTGCTAAGGAACAATTTAAAGAAACCAGAATGACTGCTGTGGACAGACTTGATGGTTCAAGTAGCTTGATCAAATATCTTACTTTGTCATTGGATGTTGTAAGTTACTAAACTATGATTTACTGACTATCCCAGTTGCCTGGATTTCCACTACACATTGAAGCTTAAGATGGCCAAACTGGCTGAGTTTGTGCAACTTAGGTCATTTCTGCATTAGTGATGAAAAAGAAAATGTGTTAGTTCCTGGCTCATTGGATTATGCATGGGAAAGGATAATATACTGCAGGTCACAGTGAGTATCCACAAGACATTCTATATTCTATCTATCTATGGTCATTTCTCTACTAGTGACTTAGAGCATCATGAGTCACCCAGCCACCACTGTACCAAAATAACCATAATGTAAGCAAGCTTTTTACATGCAAACAATGGTATTCCCTGTGACACTCTGTGGAAAGGAAAGTTAGATTTTGAAGAAGTAGGATAGGAAGAGTATTAACACTTTTGAACTTTCATTTTGGAGAAGACTCTTGAGAATACCATGGACAGCCCAGGACACAAACGAATGGATCATCAAACAAATTAACGCAGAGTTCTCCCTCAAGGCATCAATGGCCAGGCTCAAATTATGTGAAGATCTAACTCTGGAGAAGTCTCTAATGGTGGGAAAGATGGAAAGAAAAAAAAGAAGAGGACAACCAGCAGCAAGGTGGATGGACTCAGTTACAGCGGCAATGGGTGCACCATTAGAAGACCATGTTAGGGATAGATCGCTATGGAGAAAATCTGTGTGGTCACTAAGAATTGACAATGAACTGATGACTCATAATCAATCAAACAAACAGGCTCTATGTCACTTCAGTGATGACTGAGTGATGCTAGGAAGATGCTATAAGTTACTATAACCATAATGAACCACAAACTAACCAAAATATTTTAGCTAGAGTAATGTCACCCAGCCACTGAGATGTCTCTCAAAAGATGGGCTGTTCTGGAGAAAATAGCCTTTTGGAAAGAGAGTTACCTCTCCCTTTTCTGAAGAATGCACTAATTTGGGCTGTGGAGCATATTGAGTACAGAAACAAGCTGGGTTAACTGCAGTTGGGGTCTGAGAGACAGAGGAAGAGAAACCGTTGGTCTTAGTCTCTAGATCAGTGTTTCTCAACCTTGCTAACTGGCTGTGGGAATCTTGGGGTTGTAGGGCACACACCCTAAAAATTTTTAGGGT